CTCTCTCTTCTCTCCCTCCTTACCGCTAAAGCTCGTCGCCTCAGGTAAAGTTGTGCTCTGGTTTCCATCAGTTGATAACAATGCTGCAATTCGAAGCACGCCGTCATCCCGCCAACCAGAGCCGCGCTGCGCTCCACGAAATCCATCCCATCCATCCTGTCCACCGTGATCCTGTCTCACGTCAAGCGGGGCGGTTCGTTGGGAAACAATAAGCGATGATTTTTTTTTTCCAAACGAGGAATCTTTGTGCATGAAAATGGCAGCCCTCCTGTCTTCCTCTCGAAATCTCCTCTTTTCCCTCCGCGTCGCTGCTCGGCCCTCCTAAGGATACCATCAATAATTTCAAGGGAATGTGAACAAGTTTCGGAGTTCTTAAATGCAGGGAATGCAGATGCACCGCAATATATAGACCACTTGCGGCCAGCTCACGCCCCCTCCCCCTCCCCTCCCCTTCCCCTTCCCCTTCCCCAAGGGAACAGTGTGTCAGTAGTGAAACATGGCGTCGTCGCAGAGACCCCGGCGCGTTTTTAAATTTTTTATCGTCGTTTCTTAAACATTAGTTTAGTGTTGGCGCTCCAAATGTCCATCGCCGCGCTGTGTTTGAGTAACAATCATCTCTAAACTTTGCTGCTAGTTCTTTTAGACGTGTGATGTTTTGCGGTCGATCAATGCCTGGGACTGAACCTAGCACTTCGACCATGTTGAGGTTAGGCCAGCTCGGGCTAGCCTCTCAACTGCGTCCGGAGGGCAGCCTGCTTGTTGGGACACTGCACAAGTAAGTCGGCACATGCGTGCTAATTCAAAACTTTGATACTTTATAGGCGATTACTTTTTACCACTGTACAGAAGGGGCCTCAATTCCAAATTCCACACCCCGTTGTTCGTTGTAGTGAGTTTAATTTTAAAATGTATCAGGTGTCTGTTACGTTAACACTTGATCTCCTATTTAAGAGCTAAGTGGGAGTGACTTGCCTCAGACATGACAGTTTTGTCAAAAACTACTCACATGAGATGGTTCTTTTCCAGCGAATGAAATATGACAGCCTAAGAGTGGCTTGTAAATGTTTGCGTATGACAAGGCTTTGCGCCCACTTACCACTTCATCAAGTGAATTGAAGTTATTAATGTTAGACAGCAAGTGCCTCGCTGTAATTTGAGTAGGATGCCCAGAGGGTCTCATGTTGTTTTGTGTTTTCAGAAGCACACCTCACAAAAGTAGAAATAAACAGCTCTTAGAAAGGCGTTGCTTCTGATAAGGTGAAAAATAAAACGTATGATGTAGTGAGATGCTCATTACATTGTGATAAAAGGTATCACAAGCGGGATGTTATAATATAGTACAGCCTCAACCCAGAAGCCTAGCTCAGGTTTGTCTTTGGTGACCTTGTTCTTCTTTCCAATAAGAAACTGTGGGTATTTTGCTGTTATAGCTGTCTTTCCCTTACGTTTCATTTCCCCCGTTCCTGCTCTGCTCTCCATATTTTCCTCTTCCTCAAATATTTCCAAGAAGTTGCTCAGAAATGCGTGTGCGTAGCAGCAGAGCAGGGCGGCGGACGGCCGATGGGGCCCCACCGGGCCCCAATGCCCCTGCCCCGCCCCGCCCCGCCACGCCTGACCTTCAGCACGACTGACCGGGCACATTATTTGGGGGGGATTGGGCTCGCGATGCTCCCCAGGGGCATTTCCACGCCCGGCCGGCCAAGTGGGCACAACAAGGAGGGAAGCGGGGGCCAGCTCGGTGGGGAAAAAAGAGAAGGGGCAGGGGTTGGGCGGCAGGGCAGGAGGCAGGGCGCAGGCGCCCCGGTGGACGTGGGGGAGCTCGCCCCTACATTTTCGATTTACGGCGTGTATTTGATGTGCCGCTGCTGGGTTCAGTGGGGGGGGGGGGGGTAAGGGGTGCTCCCCGTTTTACACCCGTGGGGCGACAGCTGCATTGCGTGATCTCGAACGCTGCGAACGCCGTGGCAGTGTGGTCGCGCTGGTAACGAGCTTGTTGTGGGAGTCAGCCCCGGGGAGCCGTTCTCATCCCCTCCATCGCGCGCTGCAGGCAGGCGGCCAGAATACGGCACAGATCTTGGACTTGACTAAGGGAAAAGCCCACTCGTGCAGGCACCGTATCTCGGTTCCCCGAACTCTACCGCCGCGCTGCTGGCGGCGGCTATTATGGGAAAAGCCCGCTCGTGGCCAAGCCAAACCGGACCGCAGTGAAATTCGGTTCGGTCCAGTCGCGGCCGCACCTCAGAGTAGGCAGGTTAAGATCGTGAGGTGAGGTGAACCCCAGTCCAGCGCAGTGGAAAACAAAGGTAACTCATTCGACCACTATGGGAGATAAAGCTGTACTACTCCAAGGTTTAGCACGCTCACTAACTTCTATTGCTGCTCCCAGAATCTCGCCGAGAACACGATGAGTCACCTGCCCGACGACGCCTTGGTGGAGGTGATGCAGTACCTAGACGTGCCAGACCTCTTGTCCTGCCGCCTCGTGTGCAAGAGGCTCGCGGCTTTGGCGCTGCACCGGGACGCGTGGCGGCACCGGCAGCTCGCCTGCAGCGACCGCTATTTGTGCGTGGCGCTGCGCCTGGCGCCGTGCCTGGACAAGGCGGAACTGCAGCTGCCGCTGCGCGGCCGGCTCATGATCGCCACCACCACCACCTGCGCCGTGGCCGAGCTGAAGCTGACGACGGGCTGCGCTAAGAGAGGCGCTATGCAGGCCGCCCTCCTGACCCGTCATCAGGCATCGCTCGGGCGCCTCAAGCGCCTCTCGCTGGTCTTTGGCGATGAGGATACATCCCCGTGCCCCTGGCTCCTGTTCTGGACGGTGGCGTCGACGAGTGGCCTAGAGAGTCTCGTGATTCTGGGGTTCCCTAGCCGCTTCGACCGCATCTCCAAGAAAAGGAAGTATCTTCCGGACAGACCCGTCTCCTCGCCGTCCTTGAAAATTTTCCGGTGCGATTTTCACCGGAAGTCGGCGTCCTTTGTGCACTTCATCCTGGCCGAACACGCGGAAACCCTGAGGGATGTTAGCATCCCCACGATGACTTCGCCCTCGGATCCGGTGACGGCGTCCCTGCTCGCCAGCATACCCAACCTCAGCGGGCTAGCGTGCCCTCTGCTCCCCGGGCTGGACGCGTTAGCAGGGCGCGTGAAGGAGGGCCTGTGCTACGCGCAACTCGTCGTCTCCTCGGCCATGCGACCCTTTGCCCCGGCGGCCGCGGACTTCTTGCGACGCGCCAACGACCTGTGGGCCTTCACTCTGAGCATCGATTCCGGCGACGACGTCGCCCTGGAGCTAGTCGAGGCCCTGGTCTCGTCCGGCGGGTCCGAAGTGAGGGAGGTGGGCCTTCAGGGATCCCTATGCGCATTAGGTGTACTGCAGCAGATGATCGGTAAGCTGACTTTGCTGCCTTCCTTGCGGGTGCTAAAGCTGCAAGGCCCGCCGGCCGGCCCTCGCTGCGTCCACGGCTGGCTGCACTGCGACGCCGTGAAAAGGCTCATGTATGAGAACCGCCGTGTGCGGCTCTTCGCTTATGATCACCTGCCCAGGCACTGCCAAGATGCGCTCTGCCCTGATTGTATGACTGGCTGTAGGAGAACAGTGCTGTCACAATGTTCACAACTCATGAATCGAGTTGTAGACAATGTAGCCGACTGTTATAATAGCGCCAGCGGGAAAAGGAGGATGATTCGTGAGGAGGATATGATAGATATTTACATGGCGCCATTTTAACCGATGCGGCGTGCTGGCTGTTGGCTGCAATTACGGTGGTTTGTTTTACCATGTGTCGTCTTTTGCTCTGCTAATAAATTATAGACTTTGTACTTCTTTAGACTCTTCTATAATATGCCTTGCGGCAGCGACCTTACTCCATCACGTGTATACGGTACATGCAGCAGTTGACGGGAGAATTTGCATATTTGTAGAAACTACTCAATTGGACTTATTTCCGAAAAGAATGCCTCTCGAGTCAGTCCCGCGACGATGCAGACGCACTCGACCTGGCCGGGAGGGGGGG